TCTAAGAAACCTCGCCGGCTCATGTTGGAACGAATGAAACGATGTAGCTTTGGCTTCCCATTCTCGTTGTTCGAAGAGCCATCTTCGAATATCGGAGGAGGAGGACGAAGCGCCTGGATTAAAATAGAAGAGACAAACATAAAAAGACCAAAATACCCTTTGATTATACGACCTCTTGACGGAAATATTAACGGTGGACTAAAAGTGGAACACATTCAATAACAGTGGTTGTAAAGTGGCCAAAAAAATTAAAGTGGACTGAAATTCGAAACGCCCCTATAACAGTATGACCAAAAATGCAATTCACTCTATAATTCATGATTCAAACCAATTCAACACCTTAAACAACCGGGTTGGGTTACCCTTTTAAAATTAAAGTTGAACTATTATTAAACTTTACTTTAGGTAAAGAGATATTCAAACACTACTTAATACTCCATTCAACTCAATCAATGTTGCCCCAGGGCTTAGCTTAGTGGTTCACGTTTTATTTTGATATCACAACCCGACACCATTTAAAATATAAATGAAAAAAAGGTCCAGGATGATGAAAGGTGTGAATTGAATCCCTTATGCCCGTATGAAGACTAGCTTATAACTAGTGGGTTGATTGAATTCCACTGGAAACATGAATGGGACGTTGTTTGGCCGATGAACTAATTGTGCGACTCATGATTACACATGTAATGCCACTAGGGCAAGGTATGTGGACTTGGGATTAGTTCATTTTAAAATGTTCATTGTAACAAACTAGCACATCTAAGAATCTAATAAGTGTGAATGAAGGTTGGTATCCTTCATTTATGTCCGTTTTTCTGTTATCTTTTTTTGATACATTAAGCTATAAATGTTGTACTATATAATTTTTTGGACAACAATGCCCCTACTGTTATAACTTCTGTTATCTATTTCCATTGTTGTTACCATACACTAGCATTCACCATATACTTCCTTACATTCTTTATTTATTTTATATTTTTGAAAAGGACATTCTTTAATTGTGTTAATTGTAATAATATATGTAGATATTATATTAGAATATGTAATAAATAAATTATTAATCATACCATAATTATTAATATACTTTTTAATATATAATATGAATTCTCTACAACTATAAATTTTATGCATTTTTTATAATAAATTATAAAATTTTATTTTTTAAAAAAATATAACCATAATTTTAACATTGAATACTAATGTTGGGCACTTAGTTTTGCGCATCGCGCATAGAAAAGACTAGTTTATATTAATAAATGTATATTAAAACATCATTTAATTAATTCAAATTCTCAATTTCAAATTTTAAATTAAAAAACATAATTTAACAATTATTGACATTTGTATAAAATAAAATATATTAATTACTAACATTTTTATAATAATAAAATTTTTTTTATTTAAAATAAAAAAATAAATTCATTCACATTTATAATGTAATATAAGTATAATAGTTTTTATTTTCATTATTTACTTTCATAAATAATAATTTATTTTGTAATAAATTTATCAATACGTTTATTAAAATTTTATTTAAAACTTAATTCAAAAAGAAAAAAACTAAGTGGAGTCTACTTACAATCTTATATATTTTGTTCCACACACACACACACACACACACACACACACACACACACACACACACACACACACACATATATATATATATATATATATATATATATATATATATATATATATATAAAGTAGCCTTGAGTCAATCATTATATAGTAAATTCTTGTCCACATTATAAATTAAACTACTGACATAAAATTTATTTATGAAAATTTTAGTTTTTTTTTGAAAGCAGGAAGATCGAATATTATTAATGAATATGCGTAACAATAAAATCAGGAGGGACATTTTCCCACAGCATAGTCATATCCTGAGTAGTAACCCTAGACGCTAACGTATGAGCAATAACATTTAATCGTCTAGGAATAAAGCATAAATAACAAGAAATAAACTGAGCCATAATGGCTTGACACTCCCGAACAATAACACCAACATAGGATCTTGGATGTAAATCAACTCTAGAGAGATAAGACTTCAGTACCGAACAATCCGTGGATAGAGTTACCGTTGTAACCTGGCGATCCCTTAGCCAAGACAAAGCCTCCTTACAAGCTAGTGCTTCCGCCGTGACTGCATTCTCACACAAAGGCAAACGCCCATTCATAGCCTTGAGTCAATCATTATATATATAAAGTAGCCTTGAGTCAATCATTATATAGTAAATTCTTGTCCACATTATAAATTAAACTACTGACATAAAATTTATTTATGAAAATTTTAGTTATTATATAAGTTTTTTTGTTATTTTATGTTTTAATATGATTAGTGAATTTTATTATGTCTAACTAATTGAAATATTTGTACATTTTATTTTTTTTTAAATAAAATAAAAAGTAAATAGGTGTGGATTTTGAAAATGCCCACCATAGCATGTTGGAACTGGGAAGTAAGGATAGGTTGACAAAGTATAACGACGAAGTCAGGTCAGAAGTGATTTATTAGTTACTCAAGACTCCAAACTTATTGGACTTGTTTGGTAAAATGACTGGTAGCAGATAATTGTTAGCGGTTAGTGGATTGTGTTAATTAAAATGTTTAAATAATTGATATCATTAGCTTATTGTAGAAAAGTATTTGGTAAATTAGCTGTTAGATATAATTTCTTTTCTCAAAAAGCTAATTGAAAAAGTTGCTTAGAGTACCTTTTTGAATTTTAGCATTTTGGAGTTGCAAAAAGTTAATTAACCAAACATTTATATTTTATATTGATATTTTGACCCTGTTTGGTAAATGACTGTTAGCTGATTGTGTTAATTAGAGGGTACGTATAACTAGTTGATAACATTAGCTGTTGTAGAAAAGTGTTTGATAAATTAGCTGTTAGCTGATAGGTGTTTGGTATAATTTCTTTTCTAAAAAAGCTAATTGAAAAAGTTGCTTGGAGTAACTTTTTAAATTTTAACATTTTGGAGTTGCAAAAAGCTAATTAACCAAACACTTATATTGATATTTTAACTAAATCAAACAATTAATAGAAATAAAAAAGTCAAAATAGCGTATAAACTATTTTTTTTTTTTTACCAAATTGGACCTTTAATTAAATTAAATAATTAATAATGATCAAATAAGCTAAAATTGACTTATAAGTGAATTTTTTACCAAATAGGACCAATTATCATCTCTATTAATATATAGCGTACCAATTACTAATTTACTGCCGCAACCTACCAACTTTCGCCACCACTATTTACCAATCATCACCATCATTGACCTAGCTTGCCAATAAAGCTACTATTAATATAATGTTACATTGCCACTTCCCACCTGCACTGATCTTTTTATATATAGAAAATAATAAATTCAAATAATTTCATTTTATAAATTACTAATTAATACAATTTGGACATATTTTATAATTCTAAAATAAAAAATAAAAGCCCAAATATGTTTTAAAAAATAAAAATGAAAAATAGAAAGCATTTTCTGCAACTAAACATGCATGCCCTTAATAATCTTAAAAGCGACAGCAGGAGATGACTATTATATTAAATCAAAGCAAGTTGTTTAAAGTACAATTCTAAAAACTGTGACACCACCAAAAGAAACACACTTGAAATCATGTGTTTCAATTTGATTTGATGCAGCTTCATTCACAGCTTCCACTTAAAAGTTTGTACTTTTACCTTATCAAATCATTAAACAAAATCTTGTAAATCTAGTTACACGAATCATTCAAGTACTATACTTTAAGATAACATTTTTAGTGTTTGATGAGGTGACATTTTTTTTTTTTGTGTATTTAATTGTTAATGGTAAAGTTATTTTGTTTGTAATAATAATTATATGAAAGATTTTATAATATCCTGAGTTATAAGAGTAATTAGCGTCTGGCCGGAGTGTGGGGGGCTCCCCAATCTTTTGGAATAATAAGAGTAATTATCGTGTACACATAACATGTTTCCATTGTTTTTTTTTTTTTTTTTTTTTTCCAAAAAAAAAAAAAAAAAATTGTATGTGGCCACTGGGTAGCTATCGTGTCTGCATGGTGCATCTCCATCATTTATTTATTTATTTTTCTAAAGCATAGCTGTTGTAGAAGAACTTCAAGCCTTCAACACACTCTCTCTTCCGACACTTTATTTTCTCGAAGATCAAACCTTACTCAAAAACTTCCATTGAAGTTGTCGTAATGCTACATAGCCGGCAACTACTTAAAAATACAGTAAAATTCGTCTGTTAATTCTAATCAACAAAAAATTATAAATAATTTTGTGATTATCAAACCAATTATCTAACTAACAAGCTACCCTCTGATTATAATACCCTACCCAGAAGAACTTCAACACACTCTCTCCTCTGTCACTTTATTTGCAATCAAAACCCACTCAAAAACTTCCATTGAAGTTGTCCTAATGCTGCATAGCCCACAACCACTTGAAAGCATGCCTTGAGTGAAACTTGTCTAGAACTTTAGCCAATAAAGAATCACAAAAAAATTATATTTTTGTGATTACCAAACCAACTATTTTACCAACTTAATTGACATTGCCAATAAAATTATTCTATCCGTCTATTACCTTATATATTTCTAATATAAATCAAAAGTGATCATTTTTTTTTTAAATGCTACTAACTCAACATACTGAAGCACAAAGAGCTAATAACGCCTCCACTAAGATTCAAACTCACAACCTCCCATGTGGGAATCCAACCCAGATGCCATCTGAGCACAAAGTGCTTGATTGTCTATTTTAAACATAATTCTACTGAATCAGTAAATTAAGCTCGTGCAAACAAATTCTTGGCATGACTTAAACTTGTAAAATTGGAAATTCGTTGAATGTAGGTGATAATTTTGATCCTAATCTATTGTGTCTGCCCACGGCCTACCCACCCCAACCCGGGCGCCGCCCATCCCCATTACCCCATAGCCCCAACCTCTCTTTCCTGTCTTATAAATAGCAAGGCCATGTGTTCGTTACAAGAAACTCAACTCAAACATCTCTTACCTCATCCATAGCTCCCAACAACACAACCATCAAAAACCATCTTCACATTCCATCAATCAATCATCTTAATTAAATTCCCAGCCAGCACCCATGGTGGTCTTGTCCAAGTTCTCCTCCGTCGTCAAGACCTGCAAACCGCCGGCACTTTTCCCTGCCGGCGCCGTGCCGTTGATAGACCTCTCCAAGCCCGACTCCAAACACCTCCTCGTCAAGGCCTGCGAGGAGTTCGGGTTCTTTAAGGTTGTCAACCACGGCGTCCCTTCTGACTTCATATCCACACTCGAATCAGAGGCCCTCAGATTCTTCTCCTCTCCCCTGTCGGAGAAGCTCAAAGCAGGCCCCCCTGACCCCTTCGGCTACGGCAATAAGAACGTCGGCGCCTGCGGCGATATCGGCTGGGTCGAATACATTCTCCTCTCTACCCGTCACCCACAACTCAATTTCCAAAAGTTCTCTTCCATCATGGGCTTATCGCCGGAAAATCTCCGGTAATTTAATTTTCATCAATTCAATCAACAACACTTTTCCGGCCGCCATTTTTTTTTTCTCGTACTGATTTTTTTTTTTTTTTTTATAGCACTGCTGTGAATGAATATGTGACGGCAGTGAAGAGAATGGCCTGCGAGATTCTTGAATTATTAGCGGATGGTTTAAAGATTCATCCTCGGAATGTGTTTAGTAAACTGCTAATGGATGAACAGAGCGACTCTGTTTTCCGGCTGAATCACTACCCGCCCTGCCCGGAGCTCGGGAAAAACCCGATTGGCTTCGGAGAGCACACCGACCCTCAGATCATCTCCGTTCTCAGATCCAACAACACCTCCGGCCTTCAAATCGCGTTGAACGACGGCAGCTGGATGTCTGTCCCCCCCGACCAACACTCCTTCTTCATCAACGTCGGAGATTCTCTCCAGGTAACACGGTGCTGATGATTATGCAATTCTTAATAATTTTCATTATATTCCTCCTCGGAATTTTAAGAATTGTGGTGTTTTCTGCAGGTTATGACGAATGGGAGGTTTAAGAGCGTTAGGCACAGGGTTTTGTCGAACAGCGCAAAATCGAGGCTGTCAATGATTTACTTCGGAGGGCCGCCATTGACGGAGAAGATAGCTCCCCTGCCTTCATTAATGGAAGCTGAACAAGATAGCTTGTACAGAGAGTTTACATGGTTCGAGTTCAAAAAATCTGCTTTTAGTTCTAGGTTGGCTGTAAACAGGCTGGTTCCCTTCGAGAAGATTGCAGCTTCATGATGTTTTGTACTTTTCTTTCCTTGCTTTATCATCTAGTGTACTATGTTATTAGGAAACGTGGTTGTCAACTTAGATTCTTCATTAGGTTTTGAATGATAATATTTTGATTCAACTACTTAATACACTCAATCAACTAACAGTTATCACTAACAACCAGTTCTCAATAAGCTAACAGTTATCACTAACAAAATAACTGGTTGGGTAACAGTTATCACTAACAACCAGTTATCAAAATAAAAATAAATTTTTTATTACAAAAGAAGGGATCCCACATGTACAATCTAGGCCTACACGCTTGAACCTTAGACCTTATAGTCTCCATAAAGGAGCACCCGGATACTAGTGAACCACAAACCACTTGATAAAAATCAGAAACTTAATTGAAAAAGAATATCATCGAATAAAAAAAGTGAAAAAGAAAATTTCTCCAAAATTTATATTCTCGAACGATGGTATAGGCAAAGAATGAGCCCTCAAGAAAGTTGTAATGAACTAAAGACCTTGTGGTTCACTCGTACCAAATTACTCTCCTATGTGAGAAATGGTGAATTTAAAAGGAGATTATGGTGACATATGATATGATGTAGTAGTTTATATATATGGGTATCTTCTTCCTTTATAATAATAATTAAAAAAAAAAAAGATTGTAATGAAACTCTATGCAGAAAGGAAGTCAATTGCATGCAGCCCAAAGTATTTATCACAATATCTCTTACCGCCATCAGCCTTATGCCGACGTTGAAAGATAATTTGGGGAAAAGGAGGGAATGAGAGAGAAAGATTATGAAGGAAGGATTTTTTTTATTATTATTATTTTTTTAAAAGTTCCATATTTCTTAAAAAGTTCTGTAGCGTACTAGCGTATGATCTTATTCGGTAAATGTTTTCTTTGGGATAACATTTAAACTTTTGACAAGCTTTAATTATTTGAATTAATCAAATAATTAAAGTTAATTCCAAAAAAATTAAAAAATAATTAAAGTTAATGTTTAATACATAACTTTTGAGATGAGTTTTTTTTTTTTTTTTTTTTTTTTTTTTTTTTTTTTAAATCTAAAAAATCAATTTTGAAAAAGCTACTTCGATGATATTTATTTTGACTTTTTGAAAAAGATATTAAATTCTCCTTATATTTCCACTTCTTTATTCGTCTCTCATTTTCTTAACTTTTTATTTTAACCAACATATTTTATCTTTTATTTTAAAATTTCAATGTATTTTTTAATGAAAAAGAGTGAAAATGATATCTTTAATTATTTTTTATGAAGAGTTTTTTTATATATTTAATTATCATATAATTAATAAATTATTGTTATAAAATATATTTATCTCTCCTAAAGTCATTAACATATCATAGCTACATTTAACTGTTAATTTTATCAAACATATATACTAAAGTTAATATTACATGTTGGTCAAACCAATTAACAACTAACTTTTAACATAATTTGCTAATCACTAATCGTTAATTATGAAACAAAACTTATACGGATGCACATGTTGATAATTGATCATTTTTGTCATAGGTTAATATAATGTGATGTTTGTATATTATAATTTGACAAAGTAAATAAAATATCTTAAATCAACAAGTATACACAATTCTAACTATTAAAGACAATTACCCATTGTTTTCAAAAAAAAAAAAAAAAAAAAAAAAAAAAAAAAACAATTACCCATTGATGTGTATAGACGTGGTTCCTTAGATTGCTCCTAGAATTTGCACCTTAGACTTATGACTTATCCACTGCGTTTACGGTTTATCTTTGTAAGATCGCCTGTAGATTCATGAGAGAGAAATTAAGTGGGCCCTTTGATGAAGGCTGTATCTATCCAAGCATTTAAAAAAAAAAAAAAAAAAAAAAAAAAAAACCTTTGGAGCCTCAAATTTAAAAAGAAAATTCCCACGAGAAAAACAAGAGTATGTAGCAGATTGACATAGTACAACCTAGGAGTGGGCACTTTGGTTCGGTTTATCCGAATCGAACCGAACCGATCTGATCCGAATTGAACCGAATTAGTAATAGAAAATTGAATGGTTCGAAATTTTGTAATCCAAATGGTTTAGTACCGAATCGAAATCGAACAGTTTGGCAAAAATCGAACCGAATTGAATGCTATATAATTTTAATAATAATAATAATAATAATAATAATAATAATAATAATAATAATAATAATAATAAAAGAAGTAAATCCAAGTTCCTTGATGATTGCTCCGCCGTTCAGTTCTCATTCTTACTGGTACCGAACCTTAAATTTTTTATTTAATTTCTTTATAGCTTGTTTTCTATATTGCACTTTTGTTGTTTGTCACAATTGTTCTTTACCTCACAATTATATCTAACTTGAGTTATATTTACAATATTCAGTATTTTCCTTAGTTTCATGTTTTTCTATAAATTTAATGTGCTTTACCGTCATTCTAAGTTTGATTTCCAGTGCATTATAATTATTTTCTAGTACTGGACTATATTTTGAGTGCACTAGCAATGACAGATTGTGTCCAAAAATTAACTATATAGTAATTGACACTTGTTTTTTTAATATCAACTATACAGATAGATGATTATTCATCTTATCAATAAAAATATTCCAACTGAATATTTTTATTTGATGTTTTATGTTTGTACTCTTTAAACATTGGATTTGAAGTTTGAACTACGTGATTCATGTTTGTAATGTTTGAACTTTGAACTTTGGATTCTAATTTCTAAGTATGTGATGTTTTGGTAATTAGATTGCTATTAGTATGTGATGTTAGTATTTACTATTTAGTAGTATGTTTAAACTTTGAATTATTATTTTGTTATATAACGTTTATGTTTTAGATGTGGATTATGTGAATAGGTATTGTTTGGTAGTATGTTTAGAAAATTATGAAATGTTGAAATTTGATGATCGTAATTCTCGTAAAGTCTTAAACCGAACCGAAGTCCGAACCTAAACCAAACCGATTGAAACCGAACCGAAACCAAATCGAACTATAATGTTAAACCGAATGGTTCAACTTTTCTAAAACCGAAAAATCGAAACCGAAACCGAAATCGAAAAAAAACGAACCGAAGACCGAAGTACCCAGCCCTAGTACAACCTATTTACATACTACACAAAGCATATTTCTTGTTCTAGCTAGACAAATGATGTTGGGAATTTTTAACAATATATAAAAATAATCCTTCTTGAAGAAAAAAAAATTAAGTCCCAATTTAAACAAAAATTCAAAATATGTCGAAACGCGTGAATCTTCTTCTTCTCTTTCTTCAATTTTTTGATTGTTTGTTTGTGATCTCTTGCTATCGTTTTTCCTCAACAAATTTGGTACAAAGCAGAGCATTGTTGGGAGAGTTATGCCGAGTGCGAAATTCAAATTAAAGTCTCCAAATTCAATGGTACGAAGAATTTTGGGTTGTGACAATTGAGGGTTAAAAAGATTCACTGGTGCAGCAGGGTCACCTAAAATCCTTTAAGGATACAAACTCGTCCAATATAAGTTAGGCGGATATTGAAGATCTAAAGGAGTGTGTAGCAAGAACCATTCGATTATGCTTAGCGGATGAAGTGATGTATCACATTATATCTTTGGAGGCTCAGTTCATTCAAAAAAATTATGACTAATAAACTATAAGCATAGATTTTATGGGCTGAAGATGTAGGAGGCTTCTAACTTGGTGTAGCAAACTAATGTTTTTAGGCAAATAATTTCATATTTGGCTAGGTTTGATGTCGAGATTAGAGATGAAGACATTGTCAATGATTTTGTTGTGTTCGTTACCTCTTTCTTTAAATATCTGGCGATGACTCTTACATATGAGAAAGACGATCAAATTCAATAAGATTTCTGTAGCTCCGTTGGCTAATAACCAATGCAAAAAGAATGCAAGGGAAAGCTCTAATAGTGATAGTTTATATGTTAAAGGGAATCGAGATTTGTGAAAGGTAGCAAGGGAATGAGAATTTTGGAAAGTGAGATTCTAGGTCAAAGTCCAAAAACAATAAGAAATTCTAGTGTTACAAGTGCAAAGAAGTTGGGCACATCCGAAGAGGTTGTCCCAAGTTGAAGAAACAACAAGAGATTGTAAATGTGGTACACGGTGACGATTCAGATTGTAGTGAAGGTGATGTTCTTGCAATTTCATCCAATCAGTTGTCGGATGCGTGGATTCTTGATTATGGTTATTCTTATCATACATCGCCTTACAGAGAATTGTTGCCACATACATGTTAGGAAATTTTGGTTCTGTTTTTCTAGGTGATGATATGTGTCATAATATTTTCGGCATTGATGAATCAAAATTAAGATGTATGATGATGTTGTTAGGACCTTATGTGATGCGTGGATTCTTGATTATGGTTATTCTTATCATACATCGCCTTACAGAGAATTGTTGCCACATACATGTTAGGAAATTTTGGTTCTGTTTTTCTAGGTGATGATATGTGTCATAATATTTTCGGCATTGGTGAAATCAAAATTAAGATGTATGATGATGTTGTTAGGACCTTATGTGATGTTAAACATATAATGAGGTTGACAAAGAATATGATTTCTCTTAGCACTTTGCATGAAAATTGTTTTATTCATAAAGTTGAAGATGATAAGAAAACCATTAAAATTTGTAAGGGTGCGTTGACTGCAATGAAAGGCAAGAGAACGGTAGGGATCGGAATATCAATAAACTATTAGGGAGTATAGTTATATGTGGATTTCATTTTGTTGAGTTTGATGGTGATGGTACTAAGTTGTGGCATTTGTGTTTTAGGCTTCTTAGTAAGTGTGGTATGTATGAATTGCATAAGAATAATATGTTAAAAGGTGTTAAGTGCTGCAAGTTGGATTTTTGTATGTTTTACGTGATTGGAAAACAAACTAGAGTTACCTTTTCCACAAGGAAGCATAGAATTGAATGAATTCTTGATTATGTGCATTATGATGTGTGGGGACCTACGAGGGAGGTATTATATGAGTGGATCTCATTATTATGTTACTTTTACTGACGATATATATATATATATATATATATATATATATATATATATATATATATATATATATATATATATATATATATATATATATATATATATATATATATATATATATATATATATA